GCAAACAGTGTTATGTATTGCAAACGCCCGACGAGTGTCTCAGCCGTCACCACGAGATGACATTTGTCTCGTGGATCCGACAGTATATGTATTCATACGAACAGCGCCGACACGACTACTACCGGGCGGTCACTGTTGACCCTTTTTGGGAAATCAATCCGTTGACAGTTGTGAGCGAACTCTTGGCCGAACTCTTCTTCACACCACTCACGAGTTTGGGACACTTTTTGGGTAATTATCTCAATGCCATTCATGTGTTGATTGTGTTTATTATATGTCTATTTATTTTCATTGTGTGAACGACAGGTCTATTCATGTCATCGTATTTCAGTCATATCCCACTCTACCTAACGATTCCAGTCTTCATATTCCTCTGCTTCTGCACACTGTTAATGGTGTTATTAATAGCCGTTTGGCTCTTAATGCCGAACCGATACTCAATTAGAATACCATTTCTAATGACAATTCAATTGGAGAGAAGACAACAACATATACTGTCAGACGAGACAATTGACCGCAAGATTGTTCGCAAATATCAAATACAGGCGAATGTTGTTAACGTTTACCACTCTTTGCCACCAAATAATACTAGTTTTGATAATACAATAAATGAAAATCAAATTAAATTTGATGAAAACCTATGCTTTCAAACAAATAAACCCATTTCTATCCCATATTCAGAAGTGGATTAAAAGCCCGTATTATTGATTTAATTATAATAATTATGTCTTTCATTCGTAAAATCATTTAAATAACATACATAATTTTTAATTACATAGTTGTGTGTGATTGACAGTCAAAGTACTCATATACAGTATTAGTTTTATTTATATAATTTTATTTTGTGAATTTATAACTGTTCATATATTTTAATATTCTTATATATTTTAAATTAATTTATTGTGAAAATTGTCATAAATGTATAAATAGTTGTAGAAATTAACAAATATTGTAATAATTTTAAAAATATATTTCATTATATTTTGACGAAAATTGATTTTATTTAAAAATAATAATTTAGCATGTAATTTATTGGATTTAATCATCATGATCACGTTCAACTAAAAATTCAGTACCCCTTGAAAATTGGGGTGAATTATTATTAATTGTGGTGGTTCGTTGTTTGGGCAAGGGCATTGGCTCAAAGTGAACCGGACTATCAAATGAATTAGCGTTGTGATCAATCTCGGTCGCTGCCGTCGCCGCCGCCGGTGCCCCACTCGCGCGTTGTATATTGATTTTGGGTATGGTCAAATTGGGCACACGTAGGTTAGATACGCTACGTAAGTAACCCTTATGGAACACAAAGTACACTAAACCTGCCACAAGCCCTATGGCCAACAGTACGCTCAACACACTTACAAACACCGTTACCGTTGAACCGCCGCCTTTGGACGAACTTTTAGGCAAATCCTTTAGATCTAGATATTTATAAACACAAATACATGATTGTGTTTTATTCTTAATTGATTGTGGTATTAGGCATACGATATTCCACTTACCCATACAGTATGGCTCAGTGCCACTCCACTCGCCGGTGACGGCACAGAGTCTAATCTCTGATCCAATCAGTATTTTCTTAGAGCTGGCGATACACGAGTGGTTTACTATTGAATCGACAGAAGCGATCAGTTTATTGTCTTTTTGGATCACGTTCTGCCACTGGGCTCTCATATACAGGTCATTGCGTCGGGCGGGTCGCGTCACCGGACACATGCTCTTCTTGACACAAGTGGGGAACTCTTGGCTCTTCCACCGACCGTTTCGACCGCACGACATGGTCGGAGAGCCCACCAATTTATACCCTGATCAACAAATTTTATAGTTATTTGTTATTTTATATTTAATTCATTAATATAAAGTGGCAAAAATAGTACCCGGATCACAGGCATAGGTCCACTCGTGGTTTTCGTTTTGGCTGACAGTGCTATGCAGTGGTATATCAGGTGTTCCGCAGTCGTCCTGTTTGGAGACCATAACAGCCAAAGAACATAACGATATATTCTTCGCGGTGTAACTCTTCTCGAACTTCTTGGGATCGATGTATAGATTGATGTAATAGTCTTGACCGACGTATCGATACTTGGGTTCATCCATATCGCAGGTGAAGAAGAAGTACGTGCCGTAACGGGTGTGCGTGTAATCCCAGGCCGACGTCAACACACAGTTCTTGTTGCGGCCGACGGTCGCCGTGACGGGAGTGGTGTCCAGTATTTTGGGATCACTGATCTTGTGTTTGCCGCCGAAGAAGCCACCTGGGTGCAACATCACCACAAAGTACGTGATGGTTACCGACGTGTTGAGCCGAAGACTCCATTTGTGGTTACTGTC